TTCGTTTGCGGCAAATGCTTAATTAACTTTCAAATTAAAATTTGTTTTCATGTCTATTTGCTGGTGGTTAAATCCATTGTTACCGTTACCGTTCGCTAGTAAAATGGCTTGACTAAAATGCAGTAGGCTATGTGAGTGTGTTCGTGCATAACAACATTCAATTGATATCGCTGCACAACGTTTAAATTATTCCTTTGTCAATTGGGGGTTTGTAACTGCCAAAGTGATTGTCATCAAAGCGGCGAAATTAAATGAAAATAATGAAGTTCAATTTTCAATTTATTGATTTCAATGGAAAATACAAAAACAATTCAAAATCGATTTTTGCAGGCGTATCAAGTGGATCTAAGAGTATGTAAGCCTATCAGCTTTAAAGAATCATTTAATAAATGGTAAAACGAATTCGGTAGTAGATGAGCAGCCTTAACCAGGCGAACTTGCCCGACCTTGTGGGTCCAGTTGTCATGCGAAATATACTTTTTCAAAAGGGTAGACATATCTAAGGTTGTGAGGGTCATAAAAAGTCCCACTGGAAAGGTTGGCATGCGGCGAGGCTGGGAGTTCTCCGCAAAAAATGCTGGAGAAACTGTAAGGACGATGAAGAGCAAGAAACGGTTCATAGATTTCAGAGATGATTTGCCCAAGGGTTATCCAATAAGAGGTGTTATTTTGATATTCAAAGGAAAATGGTATTTTTCGACGATAAATGAGCGGATGTTTAGTTCAGTATAAAGCAGAAATATGCCATTCATAATAGGAATCAATAACCTTTGTAACCTTTCTATGAAATTTTCCATCATCAAATCGCAAAATGTTTGCTGCATGCCCTTCGACTATTCAACCGCCTCTGTGTAGTTAGGAATGTCCGATATAAAAAGTGTGGCAATCACAATAGACATCAGACAGCAACCACCGGACTTATATTCCAGCTCTCTGAGAACACTCCTAAAAAACTGATGGAAAGAAACTGTTTGGTGACACTTCCCTGCATACTGCCGCCAGAGAAGCTATTGGTTTTGACAAAGGCGAATGAAGTGCTGATACGATGAAGCTTGTCAACCGTAACTTGTGCTGTATGAGAGTAAAGGAAAGCGAGTCGCATTTGCAGACAGAAAAAGAGAGAGAGAGACTGAAATGCGTAAATATGAAAACCTACAGAAACTGTTCGAAAAGAGTAATACTACAAAAATGTTTGAGAAAAGATACGGCGATTTACAGAGGCTCCACAAGCATGTCGTAATCTTGGAGAAAATAAAGAGATGATCAGATAGATACAGATCATAGATAGATAGAATTCTCGAGTGCGATTCGTTTCAGTAAAAGAAGAAGAGAACGAAAACAAAATTTAATGTCTTAAGAAAGTTGGACGGTTTTAGAAACAATCATTTTCCAAGCTAATCGTATAAAGAAATAGCTGCATTGGTATCTAATCCTTTAGAAATTCCATTCTTATACCACCTGCAGGGACTGCAGTACCCCTCACACTAACATGACCTCACTGGAGAGTTTTATATGTACACCTTCCGAGATATCGTGAAGTAAACCGAGACTGACAGTTGTGACACAGTCGCCATGAGCGGCTCATATTCAGCTCTGTCTGTATGCTTGTTAAGAAAACATGGATTAGATCCAGCGAAACTTAGCTGAATTTTTTTAAATCCCCTTTCCCTTGTTTCGGCATCCTTCTCCTCTGATTGATATATTTGCCATCGCTTTGGTTTGTTTAGTTCGCCTGCTGTGTCGTGTTTAGTAAACTCTGAATGATATTGGAGAGCTTCTGGTACCCATTAGCGTCGGTACGAACCTTCTCTTCGTAAATGATAGGGGATACCAATAATTTTTGCAGTGTTTTCCAAATAGCGATCTGCAACAAGCTTTTTTATTTGTGCTGCAGTGAAGTTCACGGGCAGCGGACCGCATTGCTTTTGTATATCAATTGAGTGAAATTACAGTGAAAATCTTAAAATATGGAAGAGTACACAGTTTTTCTTGTTTCAAGTCAAAATCTATGACTCCCTACCAAGCGAGAGAAGAACCGTTAAAAGCGACGGAATTTTTCATCTTAACAGCTGTTTTGAACAGAGCACGTTTGAAAAGCACACACAAAAAAAAAAATAACAAAAAAAAATTATAAAAAAAATACGTAAATAGCTGAGTTCGCTCAACGGCACTTTTATCAAAAAAGCAATCAATCAATGCGAAGAGTAAAAAATATTTATTAATGACACATTAAAAGGTTTAGAAAAATGTCAAAATTTTGCTTAAACATTTTATTGTTTTATCAGCAACTCAGAAACTTTGTGTGTGTCTAATGGCAATGATTTTTCATAAGCTGACCAACAGTCATAAGAATACATATGTACATATAAGTATACATATGTATATGCATTAACGGCGCCTTGCTTGGCCTAATGTCAAACTAAATGCATTATCCAGGTGTTAAGGCGGAAAGATAAGCTGAAGAGAGGTACATATGTATATGTGTGTGAATTTTTAGTGCGATCTGGACCACCAGGTTTGTTAAAACCAAAAATTTTATAGCGCTACATGACAGTAATAAATATACATATTATTTAAGTTACTGTTAGCTTAACGCTAATCACCCCACATACAAACGCTTATTTATTCATCTAAAAGAATTGTGTTTACTAAAATTTTGTTACTTGGAAAAAATTAAAAACATTTTTGAAATTTTTTTTTGTCATCTTCACTCGGCGTTGGTATTAATAAGCCTGGCACAAAAGCCGCTTTAGTTACCCGAAACCATTGTGGCCTACGGATTTGTCAAGGCAAGCTCCCGAGTTGACCAGCTTGTCAGATTTGCGTTACCTAATAGGTTCCTATAACCAGGAAAGTAGATTATAGAGATGTCGAATTGACCTATCAGTGAGCCAAAACATTTCTACAATTCTTGACGGCGCTGGAATTTGTCACTGGTGCGGATGACGACAAGATTGCCGTTTGGAAGTCCATGCGTGGGGTCGTACCCGTAGTTGTTTATTAAATAGCTCTGGGGGTCTTTCCTTAGCCTGATACTTTTTATCTTTCTCCACACTCTGCAGTCATTTTTGGACCCGTCAGTTGGGATTGATATGGTATACTCCTCTTCTACCAGCCTACCAGGCCTAAATATACTCCGAGACCTATACCCGGCATCTTTCTATGGGGGCAGAGGAATCATTGCATTGGTCAAGTAAAAAGCTCGTTCAGACAGCCAAATTTTCACAGGCCTCTCTTGAGGACAACTTCTAACCATTAAGCGCGTTCGCCATGGACAGGAAGAGATGGTAATAACTTGGTGCCAGGTCCGGACTATAAGGTGGGTGCATTAGGACCTCCCATCCGAGCTCCTGGAGCTTCTGGCTTCTGGCCTGGCGTTGTCCTGATGGAACACAATTCGGCTTCTGTTCACCAAAGATGGCCTCTTCTGGATGAGTGCTGCCTTCAAGCGGTCCATTTGTTGGCCAGGCATCAAGTTACACACCACAAACTGAGTAGGAGCTGGGTCGAAAATCGCTTCAGCGGACTTTTTTCAGCTTACCGGAATATAAGGCATTTGAATACTAGTCTTTTAGATCCTTTCAAGCCACAGAACCATTGGTTCCCTTATCTTCGGTACTATTGTGGTGTAGTTTCAACCGGACCCTCCACTCTGAGAGACAAGATGCAGTGCCGACGTAAATGCAGGTAGTTCCGGTAGTTTGCTGACGACTAGAGAGGTGTATTTTCAAAAATACACCAAGGGCCTCTGCCGCAGAAGTTGTCCACTCACCACGCAATTAGTTATTTGTATAAGAAAACTTCTACCACCATCCAGCGAGGAAAGAAGCCTAGTGTCCTGCTCCATAGTGCAATTTCCCTCGCATGATTTCTTTCCAATATAGAAAAATTGTTTGTTATTTGAAGTCGTGCCATCAAAGGACACACGACTAGCGATGACTCAGGAACAGGATATCTTCCACAAAAACACTACACAAGCGATCGCTCATTTTATATAGGTTTACATAAATATTTGTATTCAATTTAACGGAGATTTTAGTCAAAATACGAGCTCGCGAACGTCTCAAGATAAAAACCCAACCCACAGATTTACGGTTTTCCCTGATTTTTTTTTTACGCGTTTACACTTTACGCAGAATCAGCTTGCAATAATCAATCATTGTTTTCATTAAGCCAATTCGTTTTGATTCTTTTTTTTTTTGCCTTTCATTATCAGAGAAAAAATTGCAAATTCATCATATTAATTACAAACGATCGTAACGAATTTAATTGATCAGCGGCGCTGACGATTGGCGCCAGTTTTGTTTGTTGATATGAAATGCTGTGTTTTCACTTTATCTCTTTCTCTCTTGTTTTTTTTTTCTTTTTGTAATAATGAATTACAAAATAAAAATACAGTAAATCGAATAAAGAAGTGTAGTAAAATCAGTGTAATTAGAATGCGTGGCTGGAATTGATGCTACTCATGGTTCGCGCAAGACAAAAAAAAAAAACAAAAAAAAAAACAAAAAAAAAACATAGAAACAAACTTGGCTTCAATTTCTCAATGATGCAGCAAATTTTCCAAATGTGTAACAAATAATAAGAAAAAAAATATTCTACTGCACATTCCTACACTTCCCCCAGTTGATTTTTGGCGTTGAATCTCTGCCTACGAATCCAATTATGCATTTGTAGATATGTATTGTACTTATGTACCTGCAACATGAGCGATGAAGCTGCCAACATGGTAATCAGTTTGTTATCAAATACTCGACGGCGCCAATTGGGTTTCAACTATACGAGGGCAATAGGCTTTTGTTTATAAAGAATCGTTAGCAGATTCATATTCGTTGTAAATTTCACGGTGATTTACTACTGTTTTTGTGAATCGTTTGATGATTAAACCAAAAAAATTTTTTTCTTTCTTTTTTTCTTTAATTTTTTTTTTTACAGATAATTGGGAAATGCTACAAATATTATTTGGTGGCAAGAAGAAGAGAAAATTGATCGTCACTCACGGCTATTTCCACATTTTCCGCGGCTTCTTGGCTTTTGTTTTCAGGCATTTTGGAAATTCTTGCTTAAATTTGTTTACTGATCTTGGTTTCTACTGCTGTTTAGTAGGTAATTTGTGTTTTACACTGTTAATTTTTAACTATATTATTGTTATTATTTATTTTTTTGATATTTTTGAAAAACTCGACTGTTTTTCGCGTTTTCTGCGTTTTTTGCTGATTTTTCTGTATTAGCAGTTGCGCTGATTTCTGGTTTATTACTAAACAGAATATATTACAGGTGTTGGCTAATTACCGTAAATGCAATGAAACATGTGCGAAAGAAGTGGCGGTACACACGGTTTTTGCATAAAAAATAATTTAGTTTTCATTTTAAAAAATTTCGGGTTAAAAAATTTTTTTTTATACAAAAATTCTGATAGTCTTCCATTATAAAGTTTTTATACCAAAATAAATTTAAAAAAAAAAAAAAAAAAAAAAAACCATAAGCAATTCATGTACAATAACAAATTATGTCAGTAAAAAACCGAAATCAATAAGCTTCGCTTTTCATATGTAGCTCAGAGCGTTGCACAACCAAGGTAAGTTTTGCTTATTAAGCAAAACAAAAGCAAAGTTCTCGCTCTCTTAATCGTAAGTTATTTTTGTTAATATGCTAAAGCAGAAAAATACAAATACTACTTAATTGTAGTCAGACAAACACACATACATATGTATATAAATAAACTTATAGACAGGGTGTTCTTTTAGACATGTGGTTTTCAAGTAGAAACCAAACGCATCTAATTAAATGTTATGACCAAGAATTGAGCTTCAATGAATGAATGAAAGCGAACGACTTGAATGAAATTCAGCCGAGAAACCCAATTTTTGGTCGTCGAGAGAGGATTTTAGTTTTAAATTGACTACTCAGTCCAAAGTAATACCTCTGGGGGTCTCAAAGCTGACATTATTGGTATTACTATTGGTCCCTAGATGAACACAATTAGCTACTACCCGAATTTATATGACGGTCAACAGTGACGTGGAAGCCGTGTTGCGAATGCCATGACTGTTTGTTTAATGACAGAAGATATTTCGTCTTGCCCTCGTTCGCTACAAGACTCATTCGCTTCGGTTTTTTATGAAGTCTGGAGAAAACAAAACTCACGACGCAGTTGTTAAGGCCGTTAATGTCAATATCATCGGCGTACACGCCAGCAGCTGCACACTCTTATAGAAGATTGCACTTTCTCTAGTCAGCACTGCAGCTCTTATTATTCTCTCCAGCAGTAGCTTAAAGAAGTCGGAAGACAAATAATTACCAAGTATCAAAAGGCTCGGAGAGTTCCTTCCCGATAATGACGGAGCTTTTAGTGTTGCTCAAGGTCTGCTTATATTGCCGCATAACTTTTGCGGGGATACCAAACTCAGATATAGCGCCGTAAAAGCAGCTCTTCTTCGTGCTGTCGGAGGCTGCTTTAAAATAGATGAAGAGCTGGTGTTTGTCGATCCTCATTTTACGGGTCTTTTCCGAATATCTGATCAATGGTTCACTTACCAGGTCTACAGCCATACTGATAAGGTCCAATCAGTTTATTAGCGGTGAGCTTTAGTCTTTCACACAATACGCTCGAGAGTACCTTATTGGCGATATTAATGAGGCTAAGTCCACGGTAAATTGCGCACCGTTTTTTATGTTTTGTGCAGAGCATACCTAAAATCTAAGCTTTCGTCCGATAATATTCCGCAAAGTAATAGCTCGTCCGGTAATCCATCTGCCTCCGTCGCTTTGTTGTTTTTCAAACGGACGATTGCTATTCCCCCCCGTTATTATTGGGTTGTAGAACGTCTCTTCCAACTTTTCTTGAAATCTTCTCTAAGTCACCGTATCTTTTCGAGCAGTACTCTTATCGCCTTTTTCTTTTTTTTTGTTTGCAAATGCATCTTGCTTTCCTATTCAGCTATCGGTATCTAACCCACCCCGCACGATGAGGTCCTTCGTAATTGCGAGGTAGGCAGTCTGTTTTCGCTTCACTGTAGTTCGACATTCCTCATCGTACCAGCTCGTTTTCTGACACTCTCGAAAACCAATTATTTCTGTAACGGCGGTGTGAGGGGAGCTTGAGCTGATGCTCCACAGTTACCTTATATCAAGGTGCTGTTGAGTTCTCTCTGAAAGCAGGTGTGCAAGCCGAGTAGAAAATCGCTCGGCAGTCTGCTGTGATAGCAGCTTTTCGACATCGAACTTTTCTTGTGTTTGTTGATGGAAGTTCTTTGACATACAGATGCGGATGCGTATCTTAACTGTGATAGGATAGTGATCCGAGTCGATGTTAGAGCCTCGGAACGTATGGGTTGTCCTATATTTATTATATTTCTTTGTTCGGCGTCAATTTAAATGTGGAGCCCACCATATTTCGCCATATTTTATTTTATCATTTCCTTCAAGAAAAAAATCCAGCGCAAGGCTTCAAACCAACACAGTGTCGAAGTTGGCTTGTCGAATTCCATTCGGGAGATTTTTCGCTCAAAGATAAGCCACGTTCAGGTCGGCCAAGGGAAGTTGATGTTGATGAAATCAAGGCTTTAATCTAATCGGATGGTCATGTAACTGAGTGTGAGATTGAAGAGAAGTTAAGTATACCGATACCCGCCGTTCATAATCATATACGACGTCTTGGACTGCTAAAAAGTATTTGGGTACCACATGAATTGAACGAAATTCATTTAACAAGCCGCTTCAAATGCTTGTCAGATGCATCTTAAACGCAATGAATATGATCCGATTTTGAAACGAATCCCAACTGGAGATGAAAATGGATTGTTTACAATAACGCCATAGGAAATCGATCGTGGTCCAATTATGGTGAAGCACCACAAATTGCTTCAAAGGCTGATATTCACCGAAAAAATATTATGCTGTCAGTTTGGTGGGATCGGAAGGATGTGGTATATTTTGAGCTGCTTCTAAGGAACCAAACGACTAATTCGGATGTCTACTGTGAACAACTGTTCACATTGAATACATCCATCAACGAGAAGCGGCCAGAATTGGTCAATTGTAAAGGTGTCATATTCAACCAGGGCATCGCTAGACCGCACACACTTTGCTCACTCGTCAAAAACTGAGAGAGCTTGAGTGGGAACTTTTAATGCATCCACCATATAGCCCTGGCCATGCACAGTCAGACTACCGTTTGTTTCGATCTTTGCAGAACTCCTTAAATGGTAAAACTTTGGGCAATGATGAGGCTAAAAAATCGCACTTTCTTCAGTTTTTTTGCAGATAAACGCCAGAAGTTCTATTTTGGTGGAATAATGATGTTGCCGGAAAGATGGTGAAAGGTCATACAACATAATAGAAATGACATACAATAGAATGCAGGATACATTTCTTCCGTCTATCACCGTTACCGATGTGAGTTTTTCGATCTGCCAAGTAGTTTGATGAATTTTCTTGCGCTGGAATTTAGTACTACATACCATGAAATCAGCCACAGGTTGCTTAGAGATGTTTCGTCGTGGTGGTTGCCCATCCTGGCGTTGAAAATTGTGCTTGGCGAATTTTGACATCCTGGCGGGGGCAGCACTCATACGGATGTTCCAGGCGCTTAAGTAGATACTAAATAAAATCTTTAAAAATAAGCTTTTGCTTGAAAAATTAAAAAAAAATAATAATACAGAACAAGAAGCGGAAGTGAAAAATACTATTTTTAATTTCATTGTTGTCGCCAAATAATCAAAAATTTTATTAACAGAATTTATAACGAATTTTTTTTTAAACAAAATATTTCAATTCATTCAAAATCTTGTTCACACTCACATTTTTCTTCTTCTGCTTTTGATGTAAAAAAGTGTTTAAACAATTTTGTCCTACAAATGATCAAACTAAATTAATATTGAACATTGTCAAAGTGTTAATTGTTGTTGTACGTACATACGAGCACGTTATACAAGCGAGTAGTAACATAATAGTTCGCGACATGTCAATAGCAACAACATATTGCCCAACACATACATGTATGTATGTATATATCCACAAACATGCATAACGACGGCATGTGGTATTGGTGTTGGTGTTGGTGTATCGATGTTGCAGCAGCTTAAACATATGTTTGTGATAATTGTCAAACGCCGCGAAAATCGCGTTGACATATTATGAACAACAACAAAACGGCGATAAATGAATATAATTTTTGAATGTAATACAATATGTATGTATGCATGTATGCAGGTAGATAATAGACAGTTATGTACATATATATAACAAGCATTAACAACAATAGAACAACAATGATTGCAGCAGCGTTCACCAGTAGCCGACAACATTGACATTAACAACAAATTCAACAACAATTATAATAAACATATGTATGTTTGTAAGCGGTCTATATGTACATAAGTACATACCAGTATGTACATTGTTACAAGATGCGAATTTTTAGTGACACAAATCGTGACAAACGAGTATACCGCAAGGGGCAAATGTGAGCGGTGAGTGGCATGAGTAAATTAAATGTGCGCATGTGTGTGTGTGAGGTTATGTTGCTGGCATTGTTGGTGCCTGGTGTGTATGTGTGTGTGTGTGTGGTGGTGTGGCATGGAATGTCAAGTGGAAATGTAAAATTTTGGTCGCTACCAAAAAATAACAGCCAAATAAATTGTAAACACGTTTTAAACGGATTTCCACAGTTTAAACTTTTTGGCGTTTGAAAACCCCGTTGTTAAGTATTCAAATAAATGATGAGTATGTAAAGAGTTCTGTGTGTGTATGTGTGTGTAATTTTATTTTATTTTATTTTATTTTATTTTTGTCGAAGCGTGATGAGAGGTTACACAGGCGAATCGAAAGCATTTGGCACGCGCCGTCAAATGGTTGCATTGCGAAGAATAAATGAGTGCAATAACAACAACAACTACAACAACAAAGGTGACAAACACTACTAAAATGTAACAACAGGAAATGCGTTTGGCAGCAACTCACGGACATACACATACATACGTGTACATACATTCGTGTTAGTTTGCATATGTAAATTGTTGTCATTACAAATGACGCTGTTGTTGCAACACTATTAAGTTCACTACATTTTTTGATGACCTGTACATGTTGCCACTA